TTAGAGCATTTCACCCCAAAGCAGCAGGATATACATTCTTTTCAAGTGCACATGGAACATTTTCCAAGATAGACTATATGTTAAGCCACAAAACAAGTCTCAATAAATTCAAGAAGACTGAAATCATATCAAGCATTTTTTCTGACCTGAACAGTATGAAACTAGGAATCAATTACAAGAAAAAAACCAAAAAACACACAAACACATGGAGGCTACATGACATGCTACTAAATAATGAATGGGTCAATCAACAATGAGATCAAGGAAGAAATCAAAAGATATCTTGAAATAAATGAAAAGGAAAACACAATGACCCAAAATCTATGGAACACAGTGAAAGCAGTCCTAAGAGGGAAATTCATAGAAATGCAGGCCTACCTCAAGAAACAAGAAAAATCTCAAACAAATGATCTAATCTTACATTTAAAGGAACTAGAAAAATAGCAAACAGAGCCCAAAGTGAGTATAAGAAAGGAAATAATAAACATCAAAGTGGAAATAAACAAAATACAGGCTAAAAGAAGCAATACAAAAAGCAATGAAACCAAGAGTTGGTTCTTTGAAAAGATAAACAAAATTGATACACCTTTAACCAGACTCATCAAGAAAAAAAGAAGACTGAAATAAATAAAATTAGGAATGCAAGAGGAAAAGTGACAACAGACACCACAGAAATACAAAGGATTATAAGAAAATATTATGAACAATTATATGCCAACAGTTGGACAATCTGGAAGAAATGAATAAATTCCTAGAAACATACAATATTCTAAGACTAAATAAAACAGAAACAGAAAATCTGAACTGACCAATTACTACTAACGAAATGGAATCACAATTCAACAAGCTCCCAAAAAACAGAAGTCCTGGACTGGATGGCTTCACAGATGAATTTTATCAAACAAAAAAGAATTAACACCAATCCTTCTCAAACTCATTTCCCTCACTAGGAGGGAAAGCTCCCAAACTCATTTTATGAGGCCACCATTACCCTGATTCCGAAGCCAGACAAACGCATTACAAAAATAGAAAACTACAGGCCAATATCCGTGATGAACATACATGCAAAAATCCTCAACAAAATACTAGCAAACCGAATTCAGCAATACATTAAAAACATCATATACCATAATCAAGTGTGATTTATTCCTGGGATACAAGGTTGACTCAATATCTGCAGATCAATTCAGGTGATACACCATATAAACAAACCGAAAGATAAAAAGTATGTAATCTTATGCAAAAAAAAGCATTTGATAAAATCCAGCATTCGTTTGTGATAAGAACTCTCAGCAAACTGGGAATAGAGCGTATGTACCTCAACACAATAAAGGCCATATACGACAAACCCACAGATAACATCATACGCAATGGGGAAAAGCTAAAAGCTTTCTCTTTAACATCAGGAACAAGACAAGAATGCCCACTTTCACCACATATATTCAACACAGTATTGGAAGTTTTAGCCACAGCAATTAGACAAGAAAAAGAAATAAAAGGCATCCAAATTGGAAAGAAGTAAAACTGTCATTATTTGCAGATGACATGATACTATATAAAGAGAACTGTAAAGATTCCA